TAATTGTCATTTAGTAGAGTTGTGGTTAGGAGATGAAAATTTACACGACCGTACAGCCTGTTACATGAAATGCACCAAAACCAAAGCAAGCCACCCCAGATGCAAAATTCTTTATTGATAACTACAAAATTGAGGAGGAGAGAGAAAATACTACTAATATTTAGGAGAGTTAAGAGATGTAGAATGACAAATTAACTACTTCCTTCGAACACGTAATTTTATTTTTTTCAGCTACAACGACAAGTAATTTAAAACAGAGAGAGTATCATTCTAAAATATAATATAGATATATATATATATATAAATTATTTAAATTTTCAACTACTTAATTTTTCACATTAATTTTAAATTTTAAGAAAACAAATTTAGCAATCACTCGACTAATACACGGGCGTTGTACTAGTTAACACTAATTCTGGCTCATGCATATTTAAAAACCCAAATATTAAATGCCCAATTTTTCCTTTTTTTTTTTTTCCCTAACCATTTAACCCATAATAAGCCATCATAAAGGTTCTCACAACCCACAACCTCTAAAGTTTGACTGATTCCAAAATCTTGAGAAAAACGGAAGGACTCTTTTCTTTCATCACGTTTTCCACTTCCCATTCATTCCTCCCCCACACTCCCTCTTTTTTCTCAACTTAAACCAAATAAAAAATTACAACTAAAATCTAACCGTCACTTGCTATTATAAATACACCCACTCCACTCTAAGCTTGCATTAGTAAAACGTGAAACTGAAAAACCTCTTTCATATACATCATTATACTTAGCTTACTTAGCATATGTTCATAAAAATGGCTTCCCCTGCAGCTATCTCAAGAGCCTTCACCAATTTGGTGCTCGCGGCCTCCATCGCCGCAGTCTTGGTGTCGGGCTTCCAGTTTCCGGTCGGAGGTAAAGAGAGAGGATGGAAAATACCAACCGGAGACGAGCCCGAGACTTATAACGAGTGGGCCGCCAAGAACAGGTTTCGAGTCGGGGATACAATTGGTAAGTTTGCCAATATTATTATCACCTGTATTCATTTTAAGAATAAATTTCTAACTTCTTTTGTTTTGTGATCAACTCTTTTGAATAGGTTTCAAGTACGAAAAGGACTCGGTGCTGGTGGTGAACAAGGCCGATTACCTGGCCTGCAACACATCCAATCCCATCTCCAAATTCGAAGACGGGAACACTGTTTTCCAGTTCGATCGGTCGGGCCTGTTCTATTTCATCAGCGGGCAGCCCGGTCACTGCAAATCGGGCCAGAGGCTCATTATCCGCGTCATGCATCCATCGGAAATTGCTGCCCCGACAGTTGCACCGTCGCCAGCGCCGGTTGGATATTCCGGCGGCAGCTCCTCGGGCGAAGGCCAGGAGAGTTCGGCTGGATATGTAGCGCTTGTCCCCTGCCTCGTGACTGCAATTTTAGGTCTTCTTGTCATGGTTTATCTGGTTGTGTAGGGTTCATTTCATTGTTTAGTTCAGCTAGGTTTCTAATTTCTTTTGGATTTATTATGAATAGGTAGTTATTTTAGGGTTTATGTGTTGAGGTTGATTGTTGGTTAGTTTTGAATTCCAAGATTTGACAATTTGTTTTTGGTGATTGTTGCTGATTTTCCACACTGGATATTTCAATTTTTGATTCAGAAGATAATGACATGAATAATTGAAGTTCATACAACAAATCTGACCTTTCCATCTCATCTGTTCAACTGCTCTTCCTGAGAAGAAAAAAAGTATAAAGGAATAATATAATTTCCCAAAGATGTT